ACCCTTATGGTTAAGGAGAGTGAAGTGCAATTTATTTCTCTTATTCAAAGTTATAAGAAAGCACTGTAGCAGTAACTCGTCTATAACCTGGGCTAATCCTAAATCGTATGGACTACGCAACCATAACTGCCTTCTCAAGGTTAACACCCATAAGCTCACCACTAGAGCTAACTTCTTCACCATTAAATATTGCAAACTTTGGAACCAACTACCCTCTGAGATTAGATCCTGTGAAAGGCCTGACAGTTTCAAAAGGAGCCTAGAAAAACATATTAACATGTCCACCCTAGCCCTTCTAAATGATCTCAACTGCTGGTAGAGTGGTGAAACCATGACATTTCAATATTTAACTACAGACAGTACACTAGTTCCTAGACTAACCTAATAATACTTAGTAATTATGCATGTTCAATACTTGAAATTAGATTATCATTAAAATACTTAAAATGATTACTTACGCAGCAAATGTTCTCTTAGTTTATCACTCTTATTTCCCTTATAACATTCAGTTTTTGAGCCTAGTTTATTCTTTGATAATACGAATTATAACACTGATTACACTCTTATTATACATAGATTGATTTACTTTACGGCTACCTGTAAGACTCACTAACTTTCTGTAGTATTGTTAACCAAATGCTGAAATTTTGTTGGCTCTGCTAATATCTTTTTATAATATATGTAGACAGGTTACTTTGCAATGTCAAATGTTTACTATATATAAAACTGTCATGATAATTTAGTACACTTGGTCCTGCCAACCGACCTTACCTTCAGTTCATACTACCTATATTGAACCCTAACTATATTGTTCTGCTGAATCTTGCTCCACTATTCACAAAACCTATTCTTGTTATTCTTCAAGGTTTTTGACTTCTTATAAAGTAATCTGTTCATTAGGACGCATGCATACATATATACTATGTTCATAAAGATGTACGCTGGGACCTATTGGAAGCACTCATTAAGAAAGCTAGGGAGATGGAATATGGGGTACGAACATGTCTGGTACCAAGCAATATATTTGCGGTAACCATAATAATCATAGTCTCAGAGCCTAACATCAAAAAAGGTGGGAGGGTGGAGTTAGCTGATCAGTAGATATGGTGGGGGTCACTAAGGTGAATCGCCCCATTCTGCAGGAACAGCATTAAAAAATTTGAAGGCTCGAGATATTTCTGATTTTTATGAGGGCTTAAATCTTTATCTTGAAAAAGATAACAATGAACGCCTTGACAGATCACGCTTCTACCTTTAAATATATACCATTCACCCAGCCTATTGTTGAGATGCGACCATGTGGGATCTGCTCAGATTTATGGGGCATCTTATAAATTAACTTGCTGTCTATCGTCAGATCTTTTCATACCACTCCACAATGTCTTATCTCATTTATTTTCTGACAACGTCTTTACTTGATCCTCATTTTACTCCATTAAACTTAACATCTTATAGCTCTTCATTACTTATTATACTCCTACTCTCTGAAGGGTACGGTTGTGCACTAAATGCACAAAAAGGTATAAAATAAAAACAACTGGCATGAGGATAATTGTATTAAAACCAAAAGTGGATATCATGATAGTTTGTGATATATCTGTAGCATTATACATTGCAAATGAATGTTGTTACCCTAGGGTGTTTCCTTTATTAATGCATTTATTAATGATACTTGCACTTACCTATTTCATTACAATATAATGATTCACCTCAGCACTTTAATTTTTCTAAAACAGATTCCAATCCCTTGTAAAAAGTGTACTTACCTCAATATTGGTTGGTTATCGTATGCCAACAACCACGGAATGAAAACGGAACGAAGTCGATTTTCCCGCTCAACCTGGAGGACAACTGTACAATTCAATAACTATACGGCCTAATTCAGAAAATGAGTGTATTATATGTATCGAATATTTAACAGTTGAAATACGATTAACTTGTAGACAATCTACGATTTGATATTATATCATACTTGATCGTGCCTGTAAAAATGGCATGCATTTTCATGTAAATTTGTAAATTTATACGAAATACCACATACTACAAAAAACAAATGTAATTAATCCCAACACCACTCCTTTTGAAGTCAACCAAAGCTACAACAGTCGAGTGGCAAGACGAGCTACGCAGAAGTTTACGGAGGATCAGGGACCTTTAACTGTTAATCAAGAAGCGAGCATAAAGAAATTAAACTGGTTTATACTACCTCGTAAAAACGATTTTGGATACTGCTAGACACAATATGCAGAAGCTTACTGGTGATCAGAAGCCTTTACTCCGCAACTATTGAGAAAGCACGAAGAAACCAGTTCTGTTTTCTCTAGATTGCAATAAAAACTCTATTGATAATTGTGTGCGCACAATTAACGCAATGTTACTTTAGCGCCTAATTCAAGGCAGACGTTACTCTGGGAGACGTCAACTACTTCGAAGGCGAGTTCTCGTGATACTCACTGTGTCTCTTAAAATAACTGTCTATTTCTGACTCATTTTGAGTTTACACGACAAAGATAAAATGTAGCATCCAACTAATATTTTTGAGAAAGTAATCCTGATAAAGAACTACATAATATTTTACATGGTTAAACATTGATATTGTTTATAAATCTTTTATTTATATATTCAAACTAGTTATTAGGTTGGTTCTGCGTAACCCTGACTCTTGACTTCTGCCTTAACACCAGACTTTACTCCAAACAGTAACTGGACGCTTGTCTCCAACTCGGTGGCACAGCGGTTAGGACGCTTGCCGACCATGTACATGGTCTCCGGCCGACGTACACCTGGTATCAATGGCTGGCCTACTAAGTTTGGGCTACCGATATTACATGTTGAAAATTCCAAAATACTGCAGTATTTTGGTACAACTGTGGACCCAACACATGTGCTGAGTCAAGCTATAATAAAATTTAAATTTAATTTATTTACATTTAGATAACCCCTATAGGGTTTATAGCTTGCACTGCGTTGGCGACCAGGTAGATGTTTGCTTGTGTAATACCTTTAGGAGACTGTCATAGTTTGTTTTCACCAGTTTCAGAGGCAGAAATTATGTGATCTCAGAACTATCTCTAAGTTGCTGGTCATGAGTATAGTTAGAGTTTGCTGCTGAGCTGGTTTGCCAAGTCTTACGTTTAAGGTTAGGGATGATATTTGCATTAAGGTCATAAGTTGGACTAAGAATTGCTTTAGGTTATGTTTAAGGGTTGGGGTAAGGCAAGATGTACTCACTAAGCAGTCCGAACATTTAAATTTAGAATTTTTCAATAAACTGAAAATTTCATAAAATCCCACTTTGAGATTAGTCGCTCAATATTGTATGGTGATTGCTATTACTTCAGGTAACTGTGTTTCTTTCCCTAGAGAAAGGGTAATGATTACAGTAGGTGTAGTTTCGGGAAAATGCCTTTGGAAGAATGCCGTTTTTCTGTTGAACTTCCCAGAAACCTCCTACCCAATTTTACTCCAAAAGGTTTTATGGAATCAGGAAATAGTCATAGCAATTATTCAACACCTATGGTATTTTTCATAAACTGATTGTTTCTATAAGGAGCGTAATATATTGTGGTGTGGTGTAAATTTACTGGGGAGGGGGTAGGTGGGCACAAAACAGGGTGATTATTGTCGAGATTTCCCCAGCGAAAAATACTTTGGCAAACGTACAGGCTAGTGGTTAAGTTAGTAAAAATCGTGAACAGACAATGAGAATGGAAAGGGGTAGAGTTCAGGAGTTTGTTTATGAATTGTATTTTCAAAAGAATAGAGGCTTTCCTTCTTCTTATTGTTCCCTTGGGTTCCTAGTGGAACATAGGGCTTCAACTGCACGTTTCCACTTGTTTCTGTCTTCTGCTGTACTTTACACCTGCATCCATGTTAGTCCATTCTGTTTCAACTCTTCTTCACACGATCTCCCCCATGCCCCCCTTGGACGTCCCACTCGCCGCTTCCCTTTCGGGTTCCTCTCGAGGAACTGACGCACGATGTCACCCAACGGCCTCCTCAGCGAGTGTCCAATCCATCTCCACTTTCTCCTGCGTATTTGTTGAGCGATTGTTTTGTTCTTGTTTTGTATGTTCCCGTAATTTCTTGTTGATGATTCTTTCCGGCTATCTGATCTTCAGTATAGAGCGAAGACAGACTTTTCTTAATGCAGCGTAACTCTGTCTTGTATGCCCCAGGGTTGTTTCATAATCTCACTTTAGACCCAAAGAAGACGAAAACCAATTTCGATTCATTTACTTATATAGGGGACTATAAATTAGTTAATTCTGTGAGCCATTAGTGAGCTGAATCCCTTTTTTAAAACCATCTTTCTATCAGATTTATATTGCCCCTTGCAAGCGTATCTATGATGTCACTAAAATGATAAACTGTATAATTAATATATATATATATATATATATATATATTAATTATACAGTTTATATGTATATATATATATATATATATACGGATAATTAGCTGTAACTCACTCACTGTTTGGCATTTACAGTAGTGTTGGGTAATACTGTTCTTTGTATACTAGGAATGATCGAATATGCACTTCTGTTGGGTATTTCATTCGAAAGCTTTTTCTTAGAGTGATGTATGACTGTAAATATGAGGCTATTCTGCATTTCCGTTGCTATTGTTCTCATAAGTTGTAAGGAAATCCAGTTATTTACAGCAAATAAAAACATTAGTGTGTGATAGTTTTTGGATTTGATGATGGAGGTCGCCAGGTCAAACAGTGTCTCTCCTTGTGTTTGAAGTTAGTGCTTACAAGAAACAAGTGATTATCTGAACAGAACTGTAGGAGACGGTCACCATTGTCGGTTCGCTGGCACGAAATTCCGTATGTGCCACCGACATTCTTCTCAGATTGACACAATTTCCCCACTTGAGCATTAAAGTCACCAGCTAAAACGACTATATCTGAGCGTTTAGCCTTTCGCAGCAAACTAGACAGCTCTAGGTAGAACTCATCCTTCGTTCCATCCGAACTGCAGTCAGTGGGGGCGTAGGCGGAGATTATGAAAAGGCATCGGCGAGTAGTGCAGTCCTTTCTCCTTTTCACTGATCTGTTCAGACGGACAGCACACATTCGGCTATCTACCGGGATCCAGTCAAGTAATGTCTTTTCTGCCCTAGTACTCAAAGCTATCCCAACACCAGCTAATCCTCGTGAGCTAGCCGTTGCATCTTCTGACACCCTCAAGGTGAATTTTGCAGATTCGTCTTGTTGGCCAGGTGGGGTTAGGTGAATAACCACACTTGGGTCCTGTATGCGTGTTTCTGAAACACAACATACATCAGTGGCTCGGGATGCCAGAGTCTTGGCTAGTGATGCCTGTTGTCCTATTTGGCAAAGTGTCCTAACATTAAATGCCCCTATATGAAATTGGTGACGTGGCTTTAGGAGACTATCGATGGTGGTTTTTTGGCTTCCATCGTTTTCAGTGCACACAGAGTGAAGAGGAAGTGAAGGGCCATTAAGTAGAGGAGTTGCATTAGTAGAAGGAAGGCAAGATAATAGAGATGAAGATGGAGACAAAGGTGAGTGAGGATTAGAGATGTTTCGCGTGCACTTCGGATTGTGAGGGCGATTGTTACTTCCCGGCTGCCCACACCATGGAAGTTGGTTGCGTGACCGCAGAGCCCAGGGGACAACCGCTTGAGGCCGGTCACACACGGCCTGTTTTCGTTTGTTGTTTTTCATTTGGTGTGTCTCAGTAGCGTATTTATCACTTCTGCTCTGTGACACGGCAGCAGAAAGCAGCAGGAACATAAGTTCCAGCCAGTATAGCTTGTTGGGTCATTGCGGTGTTCAAGCCCGACCACCACATCAAGGTAGCAGCTTTCGGTCGGGTGTGATAGTTTATATTTACAGAAAAGTAAATTATTTGACAAATATTCCCGAAAAGATTTCTTTTTGGGTGCATGTAGTACACCTATACATATAGCTTAAATAGTCCTCAAGTGGTACTGGTACACTTTTTGTAAGGATTTAATTTGACCTATTTGTACCAAACCATTAACGCCGTTGAGACGACTACTAACTTCTTTTGAAATGGGATTATATGTGCAGATTTGTTGATGAATAGTAATCAGTGGCACTGTCTAGTTTTAATTTTCGTGATTGTCGCCTGCGTAGCTTAGTTGTAAATTCTCTGACTTTGGAATCGAGTCACGTAACTTTGAATCCCTTTGAGGACATGAGTTTACTACAGGATACACAGGCGTCTGTTTTGATGTGTGTCGAAATAAAATCAGATAAAGCCTCAAAGTCGTTTATTGACTGACTCTTTCTATTATCTACACCAACTCCTAGTTTAAAGGTAGGGAGTGAATTAGTTGGTTGTGGTGACCACTTCACTTATTTGTGAAGTTACCTCATCCCTAATAAACTGATTGCTAACAAAATCTCAACACGGGTACAAAAGGCTCGTTTGGTATTTACCAACCAACTTAAGTCATCTCTGTGGTAGATGCGATATCTAGCTGCCAAAGGAAGTGTATACTGCTCAGCAGTTCCCCTCTGTCCTCCTGTATAGCTGTGAGGCATAACCATTGAAAGTGGACGATATGAAAAGACTAATTGTCTTTGTCCTCAGATGTTTGCTTCCTATCTCCTGTATTAAATGGAGCGATATGTTGGGCAATGTTGGGGTTAGTCATAGAGTGTTAGTTAAGGAGGGCAAGCCAATTGATTAGGTTATGGAGCCACATTGTTTGAGTTGGTTACGCATTCCGAACCAAGGTAAGAGCCAATGGCTGGAGACTATTGGTGATATGGCTCAAAATCGTTGTCAATGGTGCAGATGCATTCACTCATTGTGATTTCCCAGGTCTATTAAACCCTTATTTTTTCCCATGTTATTATTCTTTTTCCGGTACATTTCTGCTCATGTTTCTTCTGGTTTCCCCTATTCTCTCTTCCCTTTACCTTTGTGTGCTACGTGGAATGTGGCAACTTAAAGTGGTGTACTTCTGTGCAAAGTTCTCTGTTGAAACTCAATCAGTTAAAGGTTTCCATATATTTGGGTATAATGTCACGTCATTCTTACTGTTAGTGTTGGGCGTAGGTTCAATGATTAACTTCTTTCTCTACTTAAATATATATCACTTTTTAATATTATTACCTTATCCATTCTATTTGTATGATTGTATGCTACCAAATTTATAGCAGTGACTGAGTATATTTAGATTATTTATCTTAGTAGAGTATGTATTATCGACTTTTTTTAAAAATCCCCCATATATTCCGATTACCGAATTGACCTCAATCAACTCTTGTGGTTTATCCATTTAATCTTAAAATCGTTGAAGAGTATAAAGTCGATTAGACTATTTTGTCTAGTTTGTGATCAATTGGATCCTTAAAGTTGACATAGTTTCTCTATGAGTGAATTCATAAGTTTGAGTGTTAATCTAATCCTCTTCTTAATAAAAAT